TATATATATATATATTTAATTCATTAAGATTTTTCTTAAGAATAAGACTGTGATAAAAAAAATATTGTTTTATTGAAAATTTTATATTTGTAAAATTGAGTTAAGTTTAAAATTTATTTTATTAAAAGAATAATATAAAAAATAATAAAAATTTGTTTCAATGTATATGTATTTCTTTTAATTTATTAAGATTTTTCTAAGAGTAAGACTATGATAAAAAATATATATAACATTGCGAAACTGATAAATTTTGAATGAAGTATCATAATTGTGGTGGAATGTTGTCCCTTAAAGAACCTATAAATCTCGATTTAAATAATAATAATTGAGTAACACTAATGTTCAAATATATTATCCGTTATTGTCTGCGAATACTGTTTTGTCATTATTTGGGCATATGGCTTCCGATGATGCTTACTATTACAGTCTATCAGCATTTGTTTCTTAATGATAATATTATTTAGTTAAAGATTTTTAACGGATATAATATTTTTTTATAATATTTTAATATTATTTACATGTCATTAATTTATATTAATATTTATGATTATTTTTACTAATTATAAAGTAATTTTATACCAATCACATAATTACATGTAGATGATATTAAAATGTTGTCAAATATTATTATCAATGAAAAAAAAAAACAAAATTCATTTATACATTGATGCTCATGAAAATGCGGAAAATAAATATTTGATGGTTAATGGTAGCATGAACTTGCCTATTGCCATTATATTCTCTCTTGGTAGATGGAAGTAGTTGGAAAAAATGAACCTTCCATTGTCTTCTTCCTTCTTTTTCTTTTTGCACCAACAAGCCTTCTTAAAGTTAAAAACCATATGCCTTCACACAAATCAGCCATGGACTTTTAAGGATTTACTAAAAGATTCATTAATAAAATGTGAGTCAAAATTAAATTATTATTTTTTAGTCCAAAATATTAAAACAATAAATTTATACATATTTTATTCTATATGGTTGAATACTTTCACTTATAATATAAAATTTAATTTTTTTAAAAAATTGACTTTAATTTAATCCTATAAAACCAATTAATAAATATGAAATATTCAACACAATTCCTTTATGCTAAAACACATATATCTAACGAAATATTAAAAATGATATGATAAGAAATAACACGATAAATTTAATAAATAACAAATCATCTTATAAAATAAATTTTAAACTTAATTTAATACTATAAAATAAATAAAATTTATATGTATGAAATCATCTTATTTCTAATTAATATATAATCTTATTTATATTAGTCTAAAGTCAATCAATTACAAAATTAATTATTATAGATATGCTAGCTACTACATTTAATCTTGGTATTTTTAAATGCTGGATAATCTTATGTATTCAGGTGCAATTTCAACTTTCAAGATAAGAAGAAGCTTTATTTTAATAATCATTACTTTCTTCCATTGTAAGTTTTTCCCAATCTCATGCAGGGAGCAACTACACTATGAATGGCCAGATTAGCACACAGACAAGGAGAAAAAGATCATATGGTTATGAAAATGGAAGTAGTTCATTGATGTTGATATTGTTGAATAGGTGGCATAGAAGGCGCAACAAAAATGGATGTGTTGAGAAAAGGATTTATGAGATGGATAATGATACTTTAACAACATTTTTTTTGACAATATTGTAATATCATCTATGTGTCATTCTGTGATTGGTCCATGTTAGTGTTTATGATTATTATTATTGATTGTGGAGTAATTTTGGACCAATCACAAAATGACACGTAAATGATGTTAAAATATTGTCAAAAAAATATTCTCAAAGTATCATTATCCTTATGAGATACCAAACAGAAAAGAAAGAGTTGTAGTTTTCAAAAGATGAAATACAAAAAAGGTCAAATCTTCAATATATAGATAGAATATCATATTCAAAACATAAACCAATTATAACAACCAAAACTTAACTCAATATACTGCTTTTTTGCATTATAAGAGCTCCAAATCACATACAATTTTAAAATAAGGATACTATATCATAATATTGGGCTTTCCAACTAAATATTTTGAATTTATATATTTAAACAATTTTTTTAAAAAAGTAGACAAGTTATGAGAAGATTAGACGACTTTAAATAAAAAAGTCGTGTTTACTACACAACTTCAATCTAATATATAAAATAATTAGATTAATTAAATTATTAAAAAAGTAAAGATGTAGACGTATACTCCCTTTTAATAATTTATTTAATCTAAATTATACCTACTTGATATAAATTAATGAAAATATAATTTAAATAATATAATTTTAATAAATATTGTCTACAATTAATTAATTGATAAAATTAGAAAACAAAATTAATTTAATTACAAACATAATTGTATATCAAATATATATAATTAATTATATTTAAAAACATAAATTATTAATTAAAAAATATTTAGATTAATTAAACTTTTAATTAAAAACATAAATTATTAATCAAAAACATAAATTATTAATTAAAAACATAAACTATTAATTAAAACCATAAATTATTAATTAAAATTTTAATTAATCTAAATCATTTTAATTAATAATTTATGTTTTTAAATATAACGAATTATATATATTTGATAGTATTAGTTATGTTTGTAATTAAATTAATTTTGTTTTCTAATTTTGTCAATTAATTAATTTTATATAACATTTATTAAAATTGTGTTATTTAAATTATATTTTCATTAATTTATATTAAGTAGATATAATTTAGATTAATTAAATTATTAAAAAGTTGAAAAGGATATACGACTTCAACTATAGAAATCGTATATCTTTTAAATCTTCATTTTTTAATAATTTAGTTAATTTATATTACGTTTTTTTATAGGTTAGAGTGAAATCGTGTGGAAAGATATAACTTTTTCATTAGTCGTCTTGGTCCAACAATTTACCTATATTTGTAAAAAAGGATATTACTTAAATACGTAAATTTAAAATCATTTTTTGCCTATTTCGGTGAAAAAAATCATAATATTCCAAAGCTAAATCACATACATTTATGTATAATTCGCTAGCTAACATTACCAATACAACAAGTTCAGTAAAGTAAATTATAATATTTCAAAATATATAGAAATATTTTCTAAAGCATACTTCAACTTTGTATTTAGAGAGAGTTTCATAATTTATAAAATATTCAAATAGATTGAATTTGAATTAATTTTAATTGTTTATTCAAATAAAATATTTCACTTATCATTCTGTAAAAAAGTTTGGTTAAATATCGAACAATTTTTAATAACTTAAAAAATACCAATAATGATAGTTTTTAATTGATCTTGGATTGATGTTATTTTGCTATTAAAATTGATCAATTTTTTTAATTGGCATTAACAAATTAACCTTAGTTAAAATTATTTTTAACCAATCACAATTATGTACCTAATACTATCGAAATGATTTTTTTGTTAACTTTGTTATATTCACTAAACAATTTCCCACATGATAAAGAAATCGTATATAATAATTGATCTCGCCAATAAAAAAAAGTATTACAAAGACGTTTATCAATAAATAATGCAGGATTATTACCAAAAGTTCAACCACTAATAAAATACAAAAAAAAAATGATACATAAATTTTTATACAATTACAAGTAATTCAACTACTCATAGAATTTTATAAGTTAAATTTACATACTATATAAATAAATAAATAAATAAATAAACATATATGTTAAAAAAAACCTAGAATAGAAGCATAGTAAAGAATATATAGAAAGGGTTGCGTAGTGGAGAGAATATGAAAGAATGGAGCTGCATGCATTTCGCCAACACCATCTCCATCTGTATTCCTTCTAGTAGAAACAGAAGCTCGAAAAGAACGATGCAATAATATAAGTAAACAAACAAAAAACAGCAAACCCTAAAAATGAGTTGCACCAACCTCGCTTCTTTTTCTGGCACTTCTATATATTGTCACAGACTTATTCGGATCATAAATTTACGTTTTCTTTGCTTCTGCAACGCCTATATTCCTGCAACAAGAGGTATTTCATCTACTATTCTACTCCATTCTCTCTCTCTCTCTCTCTCTCTCTCTCTCTCATGTTGATTCATCAACTTTTTGAACCCCCTTAGGTTCAACATACCTTCTTCAACTGCATTGTATCAATATTATATGTATCATTGTAAGCATATCTTTATGCTTTTGGCTTTGATGTTTCCTTTTCCAATGTATGATGAATATAATTGAAAAAGGGTTCATATTGGTGTTTAAAAGAAATGGTTTTTCAGCTTCTGACATGCATGATGTTATTTGATGGCTTAAGCTAAGGAGTAGGCGCATGAGTAAATACTGTTGATTCTCTTCTACCTTACGTCTGTTCTCATTTGAGGAGCTTACGAGGTTCGATAATTAATCATGTGTGACATTGTAGCTGTGCCCTCCGTAACCATCACAGATCGACCTGCTAAAGGTGGTAAAATCTATGTTTTCCAATTTCATTCCCTTTTCGTTCTTGGTTGATTACTTATATATGTTATGCATGTGCTGTGAAATCGATTTTTCCACACCCTTTAGGTAATGACGTTTGAATTTAACTGTTTTGTTTGCATGTTGACATGTTCTATGTATGAAGATGAGAAGAATGAAAATTGAAGAAAGCTGAAATCAGATGATTATATATATCTGACAAGCATTTGCTATTTAGAATGTTTTTATTATAAAGCTCCTTCACCAGTTAGAGGAATCATTGATGGAAATCGAGATGATTCAGATCTTTGATTGCCTTTGTAGTTGTCTCTGAACGTATTATCAATTAATGCATGATTATTTGCCTTATGGGTATATGAGAGAGATCTTATTCTTAAAACGGATAGAGTGATTGTAATGTGAGGTTCATAACAAAAAGAAAGAAGCTAAAATTCAAATTAATGTTGTGGTAATAATAGAAAATGATCGATGGGTTTTTGCTGTATTAACATAACTTATATGTTAAAGTTCATAATAATGTAGTTTATTTGAATAATGTTGTGCTATTATCGGATGTTGTTTATTGTTAATAACAAAAATAAAACAGGAGGATGAAGATGTCTAGTTTGCGAATTTCTTGTCTTCCTTTTGAAACTTCTGTGAGTAATTTGGGTTATGCAAAAACAGGTGCTGAGATGGAATACTCAGAGGATGATAAGAAAACAAAGCTTGGCTCTTTAAAGAAGGTAGCAATCAGTGCATCTTCAAAGTTCAAGCATTCCTTGCAAAAGAAGGGGAGAAGGCATAGCAGGGTTATGTCTATTGCAATTGAGGATGAAGTTGATGCAGAAGAGTTGCAATCAGTTGATGCTTTTCGCCAAACACTCATCTTAGAAGAGCTATTACCCTCAAAGCATGATGATCATCATATGATGTTAAGGTTTACCCCTCAGACCTTATGACTTAGTTTCTTGTCAATTTGCTGATTTACTAATAGCTGTAATATAAAATGGTGGCCTAGATTCTTGAGAGCAAGAAAATATGAAATCGAGAAAACAAAACAAATGTGGGCAGATATGCTTCAGTGGAGGAGGGAGTTTGGTGCTGACACAATTCTGGAGGTAACTTCCTGTGGATAAAGAAAAAACAATGTCCATAGATATACTTTTATGTTTGTTGAAAGTCTAATAGATACCACCATTTTATAATATATATAAATAGATACAAACCTAGACTTATAAGAATTACATTTTAAAATTTACATCATAATATATTGAATGCAAACCTCATTTTATCATTGTCCCGTTTAGGATTTTGAATTCAAGGAGTTAGAAGAAGTCCTAAAATACTACCCGCAAGGGCATCATGGAGTTGATAAGCAAGGGCAACCTGTTTACATAGAAAGGTTGGGTCAGGTTGACTCTAACAAGCTGTTGCAAGTCACAACTTTGGATCGCTATCTTAAGTACCATGTGAGAGAGTTTGAGAGGACATTCGCTGTTAAGTTCCCTGCTTGTTCCATTGCAGCCAAGAAACACATTGACCAAAGCACAACAATCTTGGATGTGCAAGGAGTGGTATGTATGAAAATATGCAGCAATACTATAATACCACATGTGTAGCTTTTACTTTCTGTTCCTTTTACAAACAAACCAGAAAGAGTACAAGTTCACAATAACACCTTAATTAAATTATATCATGCATAAGTTACATTTAGGAGGTGACATCTGTATCTCAACTCCGTCGAATATCATATTATCACCTGTTTTGTATGTAAAAGAAGTTTCACATGATTGCTGACTAGCATCTGTATTCAGGGTCTCAAAAGTATGAACAAAGCTGCAAGGGATCTCATCCAACGTCTTCAGAAGATTGATGGTGACAACTACCCTGAGGTACTACTTCACGTTCCTGACTAAAATGTCACATTCTGAATTTAACCTGACTGAACTTTTCTTTTCAGACCTTAAACCGTATGTTCATCATTAATGCTGGTTCAGGATTTAGGCTGTTGTGGAACACTGTCAAGTCATTCCTTGATCCTAAGACCACCGCCAAAATCCATGTAAGCAATTTTTATATACTTTTCACCTCCAAGCAATGTTGGTTTCAGTTAAGCAGGAGATCTCAATAGATTACTGCTTTATTTGCCAGGTCCTAGGTAACAAATACCAGAGCAAGTTACTTGAAATCATTGATGCCAGGTGAATGTTTTTCTCCATTCTCACTGAAGTGTTTTTTCTCATTCTCATCCGAATTCAAGTTTATCACATTGACGACATGCTGAGAGACAGTTTAGATTGAGTAAACATTAATGACAATCTCGGATCATACTCATTAACGAGGATGTTCTTTTAACATGGTGTACATCATATGTGATTGAAGAACAATATACCATTCAAGGCCATACATAACACATTGTTCTTATATCATTTACCAGTGAACTTCCAGAGTTCTTGGGTGGTACTTGTACCTGTGAAGACAAAGGTGGTTGCTTGCTTTCAGACAAGGGACCATGGAATGACCCAGAAGTCTTGAAGGTAGTAAGCTCAATTTTTTTTTAGTTGTGCGATTAGGAAAAGATAGTAATGAAGTGATGTTTTGTTTGGATGCACTAGATGGTTCAAAATGGAGCAGGAAAGTGCAAGAGGAAAACTTTATCTGGGATCGAAGTGAAAACCATAATTGAAGATGATACAGAATGCCAAAAGGTAATCAGTTACCTACCTTACAATTTCAAATTAAGTTTTGCTCTGAAACTTTCTTGCCATTGTCAGAAAATCTGATGACTTGATTTGTTTTCCTATAATCTTAGGAATGCGATTCTATTAAAGAATCTGCAGCCATGGAGGATCCCTGTTCTGCTCCAGAAGTAAGTTTCTTAGATTTTCGATCATTTGATGTTTCCATTCTATGTGTATTTATCTATAAACTCTAGCCTATGTATCTGAATAACATTCCGTAATTTTCATGGTGAGGAACAAGAACTTTTTGCATGAAATATAAATCAAATGTTTGATAAGAACATAACTGCAGAATTGACCATCTCTTTGGGTACTCCCTTTGCACATTAGCAGGTGGCATTTGCACCAGTGAATTCATCTTGGGAAAAAGCAGAACAAAAAGATCAGTTAGCCCTTTCTAAAAATTGTTTGTCTAGCAACAGTAATTCTAATAAGTTTAGAATCCCTTTTACTGGTGGAATCATGTCCGTTCTTATGGCAGTGATAACAGTTATCCGCCTGGCAAAGAAAGTGCCAAGAAAAATCACTGGAACTGACTTGTTTAGTAACACAGCACATAGTAATGATAACAAAATGAAAGCACCTGCAATTTGCATGGATGATCAAATGTCCATGATTAAGCGCATGGTTGAACTAGAAGAGAAGGTGAATATCCTCTCTAAGAAACCTGACATACCAGCTGAGATGGAAGAATTGCTGAATAAGGCTCTTAGCAGAATCAGTACGCTAGAACAAGACTTGGCTATTACCAAAAAGGTATTATTGGTTTTCCTTCATACTACAACCTCATCATCATTTGAGAATAACATTGATTGATATATGATTAAAAAAAAAAAAGTCTTACATTTTTTGTATTTTTTTCTGTTTCTTAGTCACTTGACGATGCCCTTATCCGACAAGTGGAGCTTCAAGGTCAAATTGATAAAAAGAAAAAGAAGAGGACGGTGAGTCATACGAACCTTGACTTTGATATAGTATCTATCACGTTGCGTTCGTGAGTCATGTGAAGTTTGTAAGATATAATAATTTGTTTCCTGTGTGTAGTGTTTTCCCTCCTTACACAAGATTTCGGGTTCGTGATTGCAGTTCCTCTGGTAAGGTGTTGGGTGTCAATTGCTGTCTGACCTCAATCAAATATTAACATTAGCATGAGTTGTATATTCTTGGAGGCGTTCCTTTTATCAGCCCCATCGGATCCTATTACATTCACCTTGTATAATTTCTCCTCTATTCCAATTAAATATTATGTATTAAGACAGTAGGACACTCTCACAATTGTGTTTACGCATAAAAGTATAACCATGTAACGAAAATGATCGCAAAGGCAACATTGTTAAATTTTGATATTATTAGAACATTGTTTTTCTCAAAATGTACTTGCACTAACTAGTTGAACCAAATGACAGACGTTTTCGTCAGCTTAATCCCCAGTTCCTGTTGTACTAAAGTCGTCCCTGTGATGAAGTGAAGTTGGTTCCAACCGTCTAAGACACTCTACTTGCTATTTGACTGACAAACGGAACTTCACTTCAACCATCTACGACAGCAGAAAAAGGTTACGCCAAACGAATCCACATATTTACTGTATTGTATCATGTACGCACAAGCCCTTTACCATCATTACCTTCTAATTTGAGAAATAAAATTACCATTGTTCGCGTGCCTTATTTATACGGGATTTAACACGAAATATGTCCCGTTTCCTAAATGCTTCAGCACCTATGATGTTGTTGAGGGGTTATTTATTTTTTAGCTTTGTCTCCCCTCGATATCCCCCCAAATCGATTAATATTTAAGGAAAGTCATGAGATCATCAGAAGGGCACGCTTATCCAATTAACGAGACAATCACACCAAATATAATAAAGGTGGGCAGAGAGCAAAAACAAGGGTTGTTTTTAATCCGGAAAAAAAAGCTATTAGCTATACACGAGGTTGACACAACTCTCGAGTGTACGCATTAAACAGAAAATTAGTGTTCAGGGATCAACCTAATGTGCAAGGTGTCGGCACTAGGAACACCATGATTCGAAAAAATGCCCTCTCCCAGAGTCCCTGTATCAGCCAGCCAAAATTCACCAGCAAAACTTCTTCTGATAAACAGCAATAAATAAATATCAGAGATTTGCATAATATCCATAAAACTATATTAAAAAATATAAAAGAGACAAACTTACCCGCGACTTAGCTTCTTCTTGACTATCAATGTAAGCAAGCAGCTCTTCTTGCCTCATTAATGCTTCATATAGAGCCTATCGAACAATCCAGAAAGTACAAATGTAACAGTATTCTTCAAGTAAGGAAACAGTAAGAAACTAAGTACTCATCACATTTTCACGGTCAAATATGAAATTCACACCCAAACATAAATAGGAGAGAAAAATACATGTATGAGAGCAAAAGCACAACTGCAATAACAAATTTTCCTATTTCACCATTAAACGAAACTATACAGGAATTAAAATCTAAAATAACGAAACTGCCATAACACAGATACACCCGCTTAACAACCAACACACGACATATACTCTGATTGGCTAAGAGGTGATATAGGCAAGCAAAATATCGTGTGATTTTTTAACTTAAAATAACTATCANATCACACCAAATATAATAAAGGTGGGCAGAGAGCAAAAACAAGGGTTGTTTTTAATCCGGAAAAAAAGCTATTAGCTATACACGAGGTTGACACAACTCTCGAGTGTACGCATTAAACAGAAAATTAGTGTTCAGGGATCAACCTAATGTGCAAGGTGTCGGCACTAGGAACACCATGATTCGAAAAAATGCCCTCTCCCAGAGTCCCTGTATCAGCCAGCCAAAATTCACCAGCAAAACTTCTTCTGATAAACAGCAATAAATAAATATCAGAGATTTGCATAATATCCATAAAACTGTATTAAAAAATATAAAAGAGACAAACTTACCCGCGACTTAGCTTCTTCTTGACTATCAATGTAAGCAAGCAGCTCTTCTTGCCTCATTAATGCTTCATATAGAGCCTATCGAACAATCCAGAAAGTACAAATGTAACAGTATTCTTCAAGTAAGGAAACAGTAAGAAACTAAGTACTCATCACATTTTCACGGTCAAATATGAAATTCACACCCAAACATAAATAGGAGAGAAAAATACATGTATGAGAGCAAAAGCACAACTGCAATAACAAATTTTCCTATTTCACCATTAAACGAAACTATACAGGAATTAAAATCTAAAATAACGAAACTGCCATAACACAGATACAACAGCTTAACAACCAACACACGACATATACTCTGATTGGCTAAGAGGTGATATAGGCAAGCAAAATATCGTGTGATTTTTTAACTTAAAATAACTATCATACCTTAGTTCCATATAGACAAAAAAAATTGGTTAGAATTTAAAAAAAAAACAGACATGAAAATATTGCATTTATTCATTAAGAATGTGCTCATCGATATATTCTTGTGGCGACCAGCTAACAGGAAAGGTAAGATTTTGGTTTTGCATTTAAAGATAACAGATAAAATAAGAGATGGAAACACCTCAACGTAATTATCACGACTGCAGTGTTTAAAAGAATTATGGAAAAGCGAAAGTATAGCATACTACCTTTTTAGTTGCAATTAGATCTGCTTCCAAAGCATCCACCCGACATACAGCAGCATTTAGCAATTCCACTTTCTCATAAGGCATCTCAGATGGCTTAGATTGGAGTGTGTCAACCTTCTCTTCAAGCTCACCTAACCTTTTCACCATTGAGGAAAGGAGATTTGCCTCTGTGTGTGCTGGAGTTTGTGACGGAGGATGGTTGTCTTCGCTTGTTGTACTAACGGGTGTCTCTGAAGTGCACTGATCCTCATTAGATGGTGAGGCAGGAAGTTTCTTGGTCACACGGTATGCGACTGAATGGAAGAGGGTAAACAGCATCATAAAGAAAGCAGTTAGAGCCCCCAACATCCGAGCTCGAACCCCTATGGGAGTTTGTGGAGGATCAGGGAGGGAAGGTGTTCCTGTAATACAAAATTCAATTTAACAATCCTGAAGAAAATTAAATCAAAAAATTCAAATCAAGAAAACAAGAAAAGAACTAACGCTTCCTAAATCTTAAAAGACAAGGACTTATGCAATTGCTTATAATCCCATATAAATCCCGCCCTGACAAAAATGCCAAGTTAGGGACCAACTGTTCCAATACCTTAAACTCTCAAGTGTGGGTCCCGAAACAGTTTGTCTCCTACGGACTAGAAATTATAGAACACACCCGATATAAAACACCATTTATCATCACAGTAAAACATTCGAAATTCTAAAACACGAGGGCATTAGATTATAAAAACAAGGGGGGAGGATTACTAACAAGAGCATAAGCGGCAAAAGAAAATCAAGTCATGCCTTCAATAGCCTATCAAAAATTGAGTTAATTTGAATCAAACGTTGATTAACCAAAATTCATGATTCAATTGGGGTATAATCTTTTGTATAATGACACAGCATAAGGCAAAAACTGATGACATTGACGCACTTACAGCCATCAAATGTCCTGCAAAAGTTAAAGCACAAATAGTGTCACTATGCTGCTAACGAAACAAGTTTTAACTGATATTTAGAACAGAATGCAGATACAAGATCTTAAACAACGCACTTATGTTTTAACCTTTGGTGTTATTTTCTTTTTATGAATAAGAACCGTGAGAAGATTCATACAACAGATAACTATAATAACAATAAGCTAAAGTTGTTTTACCTTTTGAAGTTTGAGCCCTCTGGAGTGATGCTTGTTTGTTCCAGCCAGCATCAACAGCTTTGTCCACCATCGGAACATATTCATCATACCCAGCCAAGTTACCACCACCAACATAGATCGACTTTCCAACAACCTTAGCCTGAACACAAAATGTAAATAAATTCTCTGTTTGGAATAGACCAGGGAAAATCCTAAGAACAAGTTCCTTGAGAAGTAATATATTTTGATCATCCTCATTAAATCATTAATTATAGTGAATATCTTCTGCATATAAATACAACTGATCAAAAGGTAACGAGTGCAAGAATGATCAAAGAAAATTTTGCAGCCAGTAAAATTAAGTGGAGATGCAGCACAGAAGTACTACAATCAATGAATTGAAAATTCTACCAATTTAATGAAAACTGTGAGTAAACCTAGCAGAAAATCAACACTTACTTCCTCACGAACAGGTGTCAACCTAAGGTGAGAGTAGCTCTTCATCGCTTTTGGAGAAGCAATATCTTCAGCTTCAGACCCTGATTCAGCTGTGGATGTGTCACTACCTTTTACCTGCAAGAAAGAAGTGACACAGTCAATAAGGTTACAAAATGAAAAGGGGCCTGAAGAAGTACAAAGGAATCAATTCAGCCTCCACCAGGTTCAAGCAATAATAAACCATACAACATATTACCATTGGGTATTGTGGTCTGGCATATGCAATAACCTTTCCTTCACTGTTTAGAACTTTTACAACAGGCCTTGCTCTTCGTGCTTCACCGCTAAGAATCATCTGCAAATTTCCCCGTGCAATTAACAGTACAGTTAGCATGTAGCAAGATTCGTATCATATAGCAAGTGTTGAGCCTTTTAGAAAGAAACATCAGTGCATACCTTCAAAATTTCTGGGTTTTTCCAGGGTCCCTTATCAGATCTGAGGCAACCACCCTGATCTGCACATGTACATGTACCTCCCAGAAATTCCGGCAACTCGCTTCATTAAGTGCACAAAAATATTAAGCAAAGTGTTGGTGATGGTTAAATACATTATTAATACAAGCATATAAATTACAAAATTTCTAACACTTGGTTATAGAGAAATAGGCCCATTGTGTACCTGGCATCGATTACTTCAAGCAATTTGCTTTGATACTTATTTCCAAGAACCTAAGGAATATTTTCCAAACAGGCACCAAGCAATGTCAGCATTCATAAACCAACAAAAAAAGGAGCCTTAAGCAACTACAAAACAGCACTTTTTACATACATGGATCTTTGAAGTTGTTTTGGGATCAAGGAAAGACTTGACGGTGTTCCACAGTAACCTAAATCCAGGGCCGGCATTTATGATAAACATTTGACAAAGAGTCTGTATCATTAATAAGAAAAAACATATCAATCATCCTCAACCATTGACACCTTGGTAAAAGTTATTCTTTAAATTTTTGGATGAAATCAAAACAGGAACGTAACGTAATACAAGATTACACACAAACTGATATTACTCACCTCAGGGTAATTGTCACCATCAATCTTTTGTAACCGCAAAATTAGTTCCCGGGCAGACTTTGTAAAGTTCTTGAGGCCCTAAAAGTTGAAACTACACCATAAATTTGCCGTATGTCACAGGAACACACAGACACATACAATGAGGAACAATTAGCAGCAACATACCACTCCTTGAACATCTAATATCGTGGTGCTTGAATCTATGTGTCTTTTGGCGGCAATTGTGCAAGCAGGAAACTTTATCTTAAAAGCTTTCTCAAATTCCCGTACATGGTATTTCACATATCTATCCATGGTTGTAACCTGCATAAGTTTGTTCGGATCTACTTTCCCAAGTCTCTCAATGTAAACAGGTCTTCCCTCCCTATCAACGCCGTGATGACCATGCGGATAATACTTCATAACTTCATTTAATTCTACGAACTCAAAATCCTAAAGCAAACACAAAACATTAAGCAAATATTATCCAGAGTATGCAGCAATCCACAACAAACAAATCCAACCATAACAGAGGCTAATCTTGAACCCTACACTAAACATCAAACATTATCCAAATCCAATCTGCACTAACCTCCATAATAGTGTCAGCACCAAACTCCTTCCTCCATTGTAGCATATCAGCCCACATATGCTTCGCCCTTTCAACATCAAATTTCCTCGCTTTTAGAAACCTGCAAAATGTATAAAAATCAAGCAAAAAAAAAAAAACTAATTGAGTTTGTTCATTTAACACCTCACATTTATCTGGTTAATGCACACCTTAACATGACATGGTAATCATCGTGTTTTTCGGGGAGCATTTCGTCGATGATCAAGGACTGACGAAATGCATCAACAGCCTGCTGCTCCTCGAAATTCCGAACATCCTCGATGGAAACAGAGCTGACGCGGCCATCGCTCTTCCTTCTGCTGCTCTTCTTCTTCAGCGTGTGTTTGAACTTGGACGACGCATTCAGCGCCTTCTTCTTGAGAGATCCGATTCTGGTCCTCCGTTCGTCCTCGGAGTTCTCAAAATCAGATCTCCGCTCCTTCTTCTCGTCACTCCCGGAAAAACCTTCGAAACCTGCAAGGCAGAGCCAAAACAAACCGTTTCATCAGCAAAAAAGAAAACCTAAAACACTAAAAAAGAGTTCGATAGAGAAAGAGAAGTCACATGGTCTGGCGAAACGGTCGAGAGGGCCGGACATTGTAATGTGAAGAGTCAGTGTGCGAGCAAAGCCGCATTCAGCATTCAGCAAACCCTAAGATTTTTTACAGAAGAAGAAGAATGGCGCGAGTATTGAGAGTG